GCTGTGTGAACACAGATAACACATGCTATAAAAAAACCAATCCCAACAAACCCTCAAAGAAACTTTGTGTTACAAAGAAAAATGCAAGAAAACAAGATCTGAAGATAAATTTCTGCTTAGATGTATTTTTAAGTGAGGAGCATCATTTTGTCAAAAAGGTGGGTCTGCTTGCAGATTGTGGTTTGAGGCAGATAAGAGAAACCTTAGATGTCATGTCTGAGTTACTGAACTTTTTTTTTTAACCTTCTAAAGAAAATCACCACCACACAAGTTCTCTCAGAAAACTGGTGAACTGAATGTTGAAACCACAGGGCACAAACACCACAGAATGAAAATGGAGCATGCAGCAAAAGTTTTGAACTGCGGAACACAAAGCTAATTGCCCTTGCTTGCGTTCACAGCTTTTGCTTTACCTACAAAACTGTCTTTTATCTCAAACCCATGAGTTTTCCCACTTTTACCCTCTGATTCTCTTGCCCCATCCTGCTGGGGGGAGCAAGCGAGCTGCCGCATGGGGCTTAGCTGCTTATTGGGGTTAGGCCACAACAGTATTTTTTACAAAATAAAGGAAAATTTAGGTCATGTTAATGTAATAGTTCCAGGGGTAAGGCAAATACTGATGTAATGTATTGGATGTTCAGGCACCCAAGACTTGAATCATGTAATCACATCCTTTATCACCGACCTCAGAAACTTCAGTAACAGAAGGCCCAAACCAGTAAGCCAACAAGCGTCTTTCCGCTCATGTCTGGAACTGAAAATCTTGACAAAATTATGCAAAAATGGAAGGAAAGCTTCAGTATTATGAATAGGATTTGTTACATGGATTTGGAATTACAATTCAAGCCACGGGTAAGGGGTAGAAGTTTAAATGTCTAAGCTTCTTTTTTAATGCAAACATAACCTCATGTTGAAATAGCAAAAGGCTCAGGTTCATAATCTACAGGCTTCTCATCAACCACACAGCAGATGCAACTGAATTAGAAACCAAACTATCACCTATTAGGCACCTTCAAGTTGGACCAAAAACAGGAACATACACTGGGTCTATCTTTAGCCAAATGCTGATCCTAACTTTTTTTTTTTTCCCCCTTGGCATTACTGTGGAAGTCCCCACAATGCCCTCCCCTCTAGAGAGCACAAAGCTGCCTGTAAAAGACTGCAAAGAAATCTGAAGATTATGTTGGAAGTGTTGATACAAAGAAGACATCTCAAACAAGATCTATAAAGAAATCTCCAATGTTTGCCTGTGGGTGCTCCCACAGTTAAATGGCGGGTGTCTCCATCAGTCCTCGTTGGCAACATAGACAGTGGGGTCGAGTGCACCCTCAGCAAGTTTGCGATGATACCAAGCTGTTTGGCGAGGTAGACGTGCTGGAGGGGAGGGATGCCATCCAGAGGGACCTGGACAGGCTGGAGAGGTGGGCCCAAGCCAACCTCATGCAGTTCAACAAGGCCAAGTGCAAGGTCCTACATCTGGGTCAGGGCAATCCCAAGCAGAAATACAGGTTCGGTGGGGAATGGCTGGAGAGCAGCCCTGAGGAGAAGGACCTGGGTGTGCTGACTGACCAGAAGCTCAGCATGAGCCAGCAATGTGCAATCGCAACCCAGAAGGCCAACTGTATCCTGGGCTGCATCAAAAGAAGTGTGGCCAGCAGGTCAAGGGAAGTGATTCTGCCCCTCTACTCCACTCTCGTGAGACACCACCTGGAGTACTGCATCCAGCTCTGGAGTCACTAACGTAAGGACATGGACCTACTGGAGTGTGTCCAGGAGAGCCACAAGGATGATCCAAGGGCTGGAGCACCTCTCCTATGAGGAAAGGCCGAGAGAGCTGGGGCTGTTCAGCCTGGAGAAGAGAAGGCTCCAGGGAGATCTTATTGTGGCCTTCCAGTACCTAAAGGGGGCCTACAGGAGAGCTGGGGAAGGACTTTTTACTAGGGCATGTAGTGATAGGATGACGGGGAATGGCTTTAAACTGGAAGAGGGCAGGTTTACATTAAACATTAGGAAGAAATTTTTTACTTTGAGGGTTATTAGGCACTGGAACAGGTTGCCCAGAGAGGTTGTTGAGGCCCCATCCCTGGAGGTGTTCAAGGCCAGGCTGGATGTAGCCCTGGGCAACCTGGTCTAGTGGGAGGTGTCCCTGCCCATGGCAGGGGAGTTGGAACTCGATGATCTTCAAGGTCCCTTCCAACCTAAACCATTCTATGATCAAAGCTGCTAAATTCAACCATCTGGGGACGCTGATTTGAAGAGCCCTATGTCATACAATGTGAATAGAGGAGTGGTCTCAGATATGCCACCAAGGTTGCTTGAACCCTAGCAGACTACAGTCTGAGCAGCAAAGGATATAGCATTTACTTTCTTGTAGAAGGCCCCTCTGTACATTGTATCTTTTCAGAATTTCTAAGGTAAAATGACAAATCCTGTTTTTCTCAACTGTAAACACAACCTTTCTGAAGGATCTTGTCCATTGATATTCTGCTATCCAAGCTATTTGCCTGAACTTAGTAACAACAATCAAAAAGGTCATCCTCAGCAATCTGCAATTGCTGCCCTGTTGGACCAGTGGGCCTTCAACAGGAAAACCTGGAAATTCTCATTGTGACAGCAGAAAAACTCACCTGAGGGTGCAACAAGCAGCAGTCAGTACATCTTCTCCAGCAAGTAGTTCAACCACTGAACAACAGTCTTTTTAAAGGTATTTGGCGGACGAGATTTGATGTGCCCTGATGCAAGTTACAATACCAAAGCACTTTCATGGCTATTGCTGAACTCAGAGGTATCTGTCTCGCGCTTCGTGTATCACTCTGGACATCCCTGACCAAGTGATCAAGAAGATGCCAAGACAGACCTGAAGAAACACTTGGTTTTGAAGACCAAATATTTTCTGAGACTGTGCAACCATGTTGACTGCAGCATATCTGCTATCTTGATATACACAGATCTCACGATGTTCTTCAGATATGATACACAATGGCGTGGCCTGAAACAGCTCAGCTCATCTTGCTTACATGTTCTGAGTTCTTGCCAGAGGAAGTAGTTTTGTTAATAAGTACTTAAATTAAATTACATCAACCAGATTACTTCCTCACACAAGGAAGGTGATCTTACCATCCCACCTCTTGAAACTGGATGCAATGGAGCTACAGTCCATCTTCATCCGTATGTGATGGCTTCATACAGCCGAGCAGAAAGTCTGGAAGGCTTTTCTCACCATGCTTTCAGGGGAATCCCTCAAATTCCAAATTCTCAGATCATTAAGATGAGCTCTCGTAACCCAAGAATAGGTAGCTGTTTCATAGCTTTCACTGCTGATATAGATGATGGAATTATTGTGAAAGGCAGAGTTTTACACAGTGATTGCAAAAGGTAAAGGCATGAGAGGAAGAAGTGGGTCAAATCATTTAAAATCCCAAATTGGAATGCAACAGTTCTGTAAGACTTCCTCTGGCTTGGAAGTAGCTTTTAACAGACGGACACTCAAACAAGTTGTTTAAAGCTGCAAATGAAAATATGATTAAGCAAGAGAAAAAAAAAGCTGTTTTTTCAGCTCCAAGTTCTGTACCAATGGTATTTGCTCTGCATCATGAACAGCAGAGAAGGCTATCACAATCAGACATCAGCTGCATTTAAGCCTTTCCCAATAGATTCCCAAGACAATATCCATGAAAATGTGCTGAAGGTGGCCGCTTAACTTCCTGTTGTCCTTTTCAGAGGAAAGCTCATTGGTTTCTCTTGGCCTGCATCTTCATAACTGGATAATGGACATTATTTCCAATAGCAAGGGGATTCATTTGGGTTCTCTGCCACTAGATCTAGAGCTTTCAAGTTGGTTTTTTTTGTTTGTTTGTTTGTTTTTATTTTCCAGGGAAACTCCCCCTACACCCCAACCAGTTTTTTAGGTTTTGTTTTGTTTTTTTTTTTTAAAGTCTTATTTTGGGGGTGTGGGTTTTTTCACCCCACTTGACTCTTGGAAACTATCAAATTTAGTCTTCTCCACCTCTAACTTGAGTCTCATTACAAATAAAAACAATTACGGAACATGAGACATCATTATATCAGAATTTACTCTTCTGAGGAATGTACAAGGTTATTTCTCATTTAATACTACAGGAAAATACACAGACTCTCATAATCTGATGGTTCTCATCATGCAGCTTCTGGGCTTAAACATCTTTTGTTCTTGAACAAACACAGCTCTCTTCTATTTGCAAAGGAAAGGAAATATGCAGAGAAAGAAACTGAACTTGCCCCTCTCTCCCTTCCCAAGAAACCAAAATTAAAATGCTTGTTGGTGCTGCAAATTTTTTTTTGTAATTTTTTTCAGAGTTTATAACAGTGTTTCCAGTCAAACTGTAGGCTGTTCAAACAAATATTGAAGATTTGAAGACATAATAGGGTAAAAATCACTGAATTTACATTTTTTTCAAATCTGCCATCACACAAAATCGGTGGCTGGCTGAAAATAATTTGATGTCACCAACTTCAAAAATAGGAAGAAGTTTGACCTTATCAATATTAAATACCTCTTGTTTACTCAGATACAAATGTCAAGTTTAGTCTAACTTATTTATGAAGTCTTCAAATACCTCCCCCTCAAGACAAAATTGACAATATACAAAAATCTAATTAACAAGCCTTTCTGAAAAGAAAAAAGCCTGATTGTAACTTCCTTTTTTCCCCCCCAAATAGTACTGATAAGCAAACATTAGAAATAAACAGCCTAAAATGAAATCTTAAGTATCTATGGTATTTTACTGAGCATTACTCTTAAGCAAATAACGTTAAGGTCTTGAAAAAGTGCAATCCATAAGTACCAACCAGTGAAAGAAACACTTCTTTTTCTTTAATAAAAGCGAGACTTAAAAACAAGTCTTACAATAATAGATAGTTCAAATGGTCATATGTCAGTATGTGTTATACACTGTAACCAGCAAACCTAAGGAACAGAAAGCAGATTTTGCTAGAGAATCACTGTAAATTCAGGTCACAATTTATCTTCTCCTTTTCACATTAGGATCATACCTGCAACAAAAAAGAAAATTTGTCACAAATAAGTAAATCTTAATGATACTCAAAGTTAACAATGTGATGTAAATAGTTCTATTATACATTCATAACAGTGGATTGGTCAGTGTTCAGTCCTTTCCCCAACTGCACTACTATAATTAACTAGAGTTGCTACAATTTGACTTAAGAATGCATAAGCTAGAACCTTTGCATTAACTAGAGATAACCTTTACTAAAATTTTCACTGACTTCCTAGCTACTTAAAATATTTAAATCTGATAAATGAACAAGTTTCTCCAAGCCTTTAATGTCCCAACATTAAGTCCCTTACTGAAAAAAAAACCAAACCGCAAACAAAAGGGGAGAGAGGGGAAAGAGGTACTGTATAGTCACACCAATGCACCAACATTTGGCCACAACTCATTCAGACAAAACCCTTCTGCTGCTTCCTACTCCCACAAAAAGCAGTTCCTTGCCTTACCTTCCCCTTTATACAGCTTCTGATTGATTTTTAGTAATTTAGATCTACTTTCTGGATATACTAGTTACCCAGTTTATTGCAATATGCTTGTGGTTTGTCTCTGCTTGACACTGCTATCACTTTGGCCTTCTTTTTCTCTCTATTTGTGCTTCATCTCCCAAAATCCTCTGTCACTTCTTTGAAATTCTGATGTGTTTTGTATTCATGCATGAATAACTTACGGACACAACTGAATGATCAGGCAGTTTTACTTCCACTAATTCTGCTCTCATTCATCAAGAATTTTTTTGCTTAGACAGGAAAATGTGACAACTTGTGAGCCAAATTACATCACCACATCACTAGAAAGGTATTAGAAGTCACTGCTGTTGCTATACGTCTCAGACTCCTGGCAAAAATGAAATGTGTACCCTTTGAAAGAAATGCTCTATTATTAACTATTACAGAGCAAGCTGTTAATGCAGTAAGATTTTCTGAATGGCCCTTACACATGTTGATATGCAGTATCATGTTTATTTGACAGTGATTTGGACAAAAACATCCTTCTTCACCATACACATTTTTCTACCTAAATGCACAATTTTTAGTATCACTCAAACGCACAGCAGGTGAGAAGTCAAACAGTGGTTGCTTGTTTCTTCACATAAAAACTAAGAAAACAATGAAATCTTTGCTAAAAAACCCGAGATCCTTATATTATATATAGCAGCTTTCCAGTATCTGAAGAGCACCTACAAGACAGCTGGAGTGGGACTTTCTACAAGTGCATGTAGTGATAGGATGAGGGGGAATGGCTTCAAACTGTAAGAGAGCAGATTTAGAATAGATAGTAGGAAGACATTTTTCACTCTGATGGTGGTGAGGCACTGGAACAGGTTGCCCAGGGAAGTTGTAAAAGCTCCATCCCTGGAGGTGTTCAAGGCCAGGCTGGATGGGGCTTTGAGCAACCTGGTCTAGTGGGAGGTCTCCCTGCCCATGGTAGCGGGGGTTGGAACTAGATGATCTTCAAGGTCCCTTCCAACCTAAACCATTCTATGATTCTATGATATTAAAACTCAAAGCAGTTCTTTGAATTTATTGCTATAGCATTGTAACACATTAGTTCTACCATTTAAGTATGTCCCAGACACCTAATTCTATTTTGAAGGAGGCGGGGAGGGAAGGAGACGGATGGAAGATAAGCAGATAGTAGAAGGGGATCATACATACAGATAGTAGAAGGGGATCAAGTGATCAGGACACCAAGAGCTTCAACCCTGTCTGTGACTATCTATGGAGATGCTGACACTGAGTCGTGAACATCTTTTTATGTAATCTCCCCCACCTCACCTCCAGCCTTTTTCCATGTTAAATGAAGCCTGGATGATGTTTTCCAGACAGAAAGAAATCAAACAACATTATCAGAGAAAGGAAACTGTACAGTGCCTGTGGCCCAAAATGGAAAAAGGACTACAGAGATTCCACCACCGTGACCGAATGCACAAAGAAACAAAAGACCTTGCTGGGAACAGGGAGTGAAGGATACAAAGGGCTATTACTGAACACAATCCATTTATCTGTAGTCTTGGCAGATAGTTATGATGTGCCTTCGCTTCCTCCTCTATCTCAATGTGTACTCAGCAGCAGTTGAGGGCATAGCTTTTCCTTCTAGCTTATCTCTACCTTGGAGTACTGCCTGACTTTCTAACAACATCTTCAAATGCCATTTTCATGGGAAATTTCAGCTGTTAACATTAGCATAAAGCCAGGTAGTTTTACTTAGGATTAAGGACAAAATTACAAACTGCTGAATGTTAAATTGTGTGTTTGCATATTTTTGACTGTGGAAACTTCCCTAAGTACAACTAACCTAAATAAATAGGAGTTGAGGTAAAAACTTTTCTAAGCATCAATGCATGTGAATTATCCAAGTTTCCACTGCTGTGTTTTGAAAGGCTAAAATTAATCAGGATATTTTGAATCAATTTAGATTGCAGCACGGCAATCAAGCTGCACCATCTTTTTTTATAAATGTCTTCATAACTGACATATATTTAAAGGCTGTATTGCAGATGTAAAAACTGGATTAAGTGGCAAACTTGACTTAGAACTTTTTTGTAATTAGAAAGTGGTTATAAATCATTACACTAGGATTACAGTTGAAAGTAACTGGATGGGACAACTGAATAGGATGATTCTCTCTTTCAAAAGAGAGATTAGGGAAAGCAGTAGACAACTAAAGTGAGGGTTATTGAAAGAAAATTGCCAAACCAGACCATGTTTTAGAGGCATATATAATGAATTACGGCAAAAAGCAATGGCAAACAGCCAAGGCAAACCAAAGTGAACCTTCCAAAGAAATCTCTCAAACTCCTGTGACAGAAGCACTGATTAGGACAGAATTAATGACCCTACTACACTGTCAAGAGCATAAAATGATCAGTGTAAAAATGCCTCCTCTCCTCAGTCTGAAAACTGAAAAGATGGTAAGGCATTGAGGGAGTTTCTAACAAGGGAAAAAAAAAAGGTAGGAGCTCTTTCACTGTGAATGGGTTTGAAAGTAGCTTAAGGTGGCAAAGAAAAGGAACACAGAGGGGCCATACTGGGAAATTTGCTAAGGTGTTTGTTTTTTGTTTTTTTTTTTTTCAATTTTTGGTTTAAATTCTGGGAATCATTACTTCAAAGATCAAAATTGAGAAAGCTGTCCTGCCAATCACTTTTTCAGAGAACTAGTATTCTGTTGCTTTAGCTCCCTCAAGTGATTCAGCACAGGGACAGACAAGTGCCATGGCCAGAATGAAAAAGTGGCAGACCCCATCACTTTTTCTTCGCAGTTCGGATGACTGACTTAATTGTAAGTTCAAAACACTTCATTAGGCTCTAGCAAACACTAATGGTGGAAAGCCTGACACCAGAATCTCTTCCAGCTTTTGTGAACAATCAAGCTTGTGCATATGAGCCAGGAAATAACAATATTTTTGTTTGAGATGTTCTTATTAAAAAATTTTAGCAAGTCTGAATTAAATTGAAAACATTTAAGACATTAAAAATTTCAGAGAAAAGTTATTGAGTCATTTTGGCTATATTGTGTACATGGGAATACATGGAGTTTTGACAAGAATAGTCAAAGTAGTCTTTTATAAAATTGGAATTTGTCTAAAAAAAAAAAGATGTGATGTGAAAAATACACATTTTCTAAGTACAAACATAAAACTCTTACCTAAAGAGATCATCAGCAAGCGATTCTTCTCTTGCATGTCGGTTCTGCTCCTGAGAAAATAAGTTTATTCAGCATTTGACATTAAGGATGAAGCTAATGAACAATATAGAAGAACAATATATTCCTGCACAAACACAGTTTTTCCTGAAGAAATAATTTTTGTCTAAGTACTCTATTCAGTGCACATTCACATTAGATAACATATTTCACTACTCAAATTTGGCTACTGCTACCAAGTAACGGAATGGATTAGTTTGTGCAAGATATCAATTTTGATCAGAAATATGTTTTTTGGTTTTTAAGCATCATCATAGAAAAAGGGAAATTTTTTTCTGCTCATTGGTGCGTAAAGGGAATTTTATTAGTGTTATCTATACCTAGGGATTATCAGAAAGAGTGATAATCAAAAACTACTGCTGTAACAGCATCTTGATCAGGCTGTGGAAACAGAATGTGACTCATCAGTACGTATTTTTAAAGAAAATATTGGAAAATGAAAGTGCTAGAGAACTGCTATGATAAAATACAGTCATTTTTCAGAACTTTTACATACAAAGGTGAAGATTTTTACAATAGGAAAAATACTGTATTTATTCTTACTATATCTCTTCAGTATACTCCAAGAGAATTTCACTCAGGGATTTTCTATTTTGTTTTACAACAGAATATCAATTGTACTGTATAACAATTTGAACACAACTAACCATACAGAAATTCTTCCTAGCTCCCAGTCACATTTTTAGAAGTCACAAGTTTCCATAATGCTGATCTTTTTTTTAATAAGCAAAGTAATTATCTTTTAGGTTATTGATTTTGCTTTAAATCAATATTTCTGATCATATGAACGTTGCATGTAAAATTAATTCAAATAATCAACAAGAAGATGAACCTTACCACTGACCTCTGATTTTCAGTAACTTTTCTAATGTCTATGTTCCTATGAGCATGCGTGGACAGCTAATTGGCTGAGGTTTTATTTCAAAAATAAAATTCTGAAGTATTTCAGAATGACCACAGGTTGCTATGACCACTTACGTAAGTCAAGTTTTTGTTTGATCATCCTCAAGAAATAATTCCTTACCTCCATTTCTTGCCTTAACCAGTCTTCTAGTTCCGAATTCTTTTTAGCATGGTGAGCAATCAAATCCGATCCTCCAATAATGTATGGAAGTTGTCCTTCCCCTGGATAAGCTACCTGCCAGACAATAAGTTCTTACAATTACAATACAAGGCAAACACACTGCAAGTAAAAGGTCTGTTTTAACAAATTCAGAAAGTCTATTCAGATATCACAGAAGAAAGTCAGTCAGTCTTCCTTTGAATAACATTTATCAGAGATTATATTTAAAAGACACTGAAGAGGAAAAAAAAGCATTTATAGAAAGCTATTAACTCATTTTTTTCAAAGAGACAAACAAACAAAAAAGCTGACAAGTTATGTATGCTAAATAAATCTGATAGTACATTAAATGGAGTTTAATGGACAGAATCAATTTTATCATCAGAATGCATAAGCATTCATTACAAAATGGTGGAAAAGAAAATAGTATCAGAAATTTAAAACATTATCTAAAAATGAGAGCATACTCCCAGAAAGCTAGAGGTTGCATTATGTGACTTACATAGTATTTTACTGAAATGCATTAATGCATCTCTAGTAATCCTACACTATATTTTTGTTTGGTTGGTTTCAATATGAGCTGAAGTGGTATTTTTACACTGAACACAAAGAATTTTCTTGAAATTATCTTCAGGACTCAAGCAAGCAATAATCTTACTTTCGTAAAATACTAGATTTAGTTCTATTTAGAAATCAAAGAATTATTAGACAAAATGCAATATTCGGAACCAGCAAATGCTTTATAAGTAGGTCTTTCGAGAATTTTAGTTGCTAGCTTTTGGAGGTACAACCAGAAGTTATGGAAGGCATCACTTAAGCACTTATTCCAAGTAACAGCTTGGAATAGAGTACAAGTATCTAAATAGTCTAGCACGAGGTATGCCTTTGTCAGCTTGGTACTTCTTCAGTTAATTAACAAAATATTTATTAACAGTATGATATGGTATTTACATTGTTTCTTTCTGTAGTTGCTATCAATTTAAAAAAAAAAAAATCTTTCATAACATATTTCTAGAATCTGAAGGCAATACTTTTTAGTATTTTTAAATACTGCCATCTTGTGGCCATTTGAAATACATACTAACCTTTTTGAAGGTTTTGAAATTTCTCTTTCCTCCATAGCTGGTGTTTCCAGTAAGCTGACTGTTCTGTCTTGGATGGCTGACAACCAGTGATCTAAACTCAGTCAACAGAAGTCTGCTAGGAAGATTGCTGGAGTCATCTTGCAGTTCGTTGTGCTTCTTGTATGGGAAGAAAAAGGAAGGAGCACTTCAAGTGTGTAAACAGAGAGACAACATATCTAACAGTATAAACTTTAGAGAAAGAAATTATCATGAGCACAGCTGAGGTGAAAGTTAGGATTGCAAAAGGGCGAGGGGAAGCAGCACCAGTGCTAAAAGCCAAGAAGATCAATGTACTTCTCAGCCTCCTTATATACTACCAATAGAGCTGGGAGCACAATAAATATGAAAGAAATTTACATCTGTTGGAAAGAGAGGATCATTAAGAACGCAGTAATAATAACAAAGTCAGTGTACCTCATTTCACTAGGATTTTACTTCAAGAAAGATTTTTTTTTTTTTTCAATTAAGCTAATAACTAAGAATTACTTCTCTTTCCACTTTGGCTCTTACTCTATCAGAAACTCCAGTTAATTCCATGGAAGACAGTTGTATGTCTTCAGCTCAATTCTAGGCTACAAATTTACCATTTAGGCCAACTTTAGGGCTGCAAGTTGGATCTGATCAATGAAGCAACTTTTTCTGATATATGAGAATGCTCACATGCCAGCAAGGTTGCATGCACACTTTGCTGCTTGGGGCTAGATCTATATGGATGAAAAAGGAAGTCTGGGTGCAGGACAAGTTCACAAGTAACATTAAACTACCTTCATGGACAGCTCCAGCCCAGATGCAGTACAGCTGTTTCATAGAAAAGTATAAATTTAAAGTCCCGTAATCTGCACTACACAGTCTTGGTGTATCTGCACAGCATTCTCTCTTCTTGGACTGTTTTCTGGATGTACGTGAAAAGGTTTTATCCTGCCCCTTATTGTCTGGCTACACTCTCCTTTATCCCTTCAGATCTTTCCATTTCAGTTTCATTTAGTCTCCTTTTCCTCTGCCTCACTGCCACTCCCAGAAATTCTCTCCTTCGTCCCTCCTTCATCTCACGTATAACAAAGTCAGCATGCAAAGTCAGCAAGTGTTAACCACATTGAAGGGTTAATACAATTAGATTAGGTTGCTGTAGCTTCAGTCATTTTAAGTATCCATCCAAATACCATTAGAAAAGCATGCAGATGAACTACAATTTGCTCTGTCTTTTCACAGTCAGTAAGTTGGACAGGACTATTCTAATTTACACATGATTATTTTAAGAAGTACAATCTTCAGCACCTCCTTTACTCTGAAATGGGATCCCAATACTATGGTCTTAAAAGCAAAATTTTGATGCATTTTCTTAATGATTCTTCAAGTTTGCTGTTTAAACTTCTTACCAAGACTGGCAAATCTTGCTTGATCTCAGTTTTGATTTCTGAAGTTAGACTTGATCCAAGTTCCTCTTCTTTCTATTTGATTAAAAATTATTTAAAATGTAACACTGAAATTAAGTGCAACTTTAATTACATAAAATTGTTTTCTGCACTTTACAGTGGAATAAGCAACGAAGCTGTTGAGAGGTCTAGAGTACAAGTCTTATGAGGAGCAGCTGAGGGAACTGGGGTTGTTTAGCCTGGAGAAAAGGAGGCTGAAGGGAGCCTTATCGCTCTCTACAACTACCTGAAAGGAGGCTGTAGTGAGGTGGGGGTCAGTCTCTTCTCCCCAGTAAGAGGAAATGGCCTCAAGTTGCACACGGGGAGGTTTAGATTGGGTATTAGGAAAAATTTCTTCACCAAAAGGGTTGTCAAACATTGGAACAGGCTGCCCAGGGAAGTGGTGGAGTCACCATCCCTGGAGGTATTTAAAAGACAGGTAGATGTAGCGCTTAGAAACTTGGTGTAGTGGTGGTTTTGGCAATGCTAGCTTGACGGTTGGACTTGATAAGCTTAAAGGTCCCTTCTAGTCTAGATGATTCTAAAGTATCAAGAGAAGAGTGTTACACTGGTCTGAGCTAAGGATGCACAGATAATTACTAATTCTCATCTGATCCAAGGTGTCTTGCAAATTCCAGTTACTCAATCATATATTCAAACTTTATTATTACAGCACTTAAACACTGCCTACACTGTGTAAGAACTGACTAGACAGTAAGCTTTAACATATATATATTTTAAATAAACAAAAATCAAACCTGTTCCTTCTCTCTTATTCCCCTTTGCATTGTTAAGAGTCTACTTTGCTAAAGCTCTCAATACTGTTTTCCTCTACAAACCTGCTTTTGGTTTTTTTTCTCCAATGAAGTGGCTACTGTTAACTCAAAATCCATTGTTTTCTTCATTTCTCTTAGAAAATTCCCTTATTCTCAAAAACAAAACCAGAGAAATAATCAAGAAAACTAATCACAAGCTGGGTTTTGGTTGGTTGGGGGGTGGGGGGGGGTGTTGGCTGTTTTTTGTTAGTTTTGGGTGTGTGCACCCCACCCCAAGAAGACATTAATAATCTGAATTGCCTCATACAGGAATTTTAGTCTTTCACACGACATCTAGAGATTCTGACTTGAAAGATGTTGGACACTACTGGCGTATTCAACGGAAGAGGTCAACTAAAGCTTTCTTCAGAGAATTCATTAAAGATAACATAACTGAGTATTATTTAGTATAAATATCAACATTATAATTAACACACCAACATACAACATGAGAAGTTTTTCTTGGACCAGTGATATAATCTGATGTCCTACCTACAGTATTCAAGCAAAAAGAGAGGAAAACTTTCAGAATACAAGCAGCTTTCAATTCACAAAGAAACAATGTCCTGAAGAATGAAAGGCATTTAGTTATAACACTGCAGTGTTCACATATAATAAATACATCATGTCAATTTTTAGTTCAGAGTGATTTGAGACATTTAAACAAACAAACTTTACAAAACCACTTTCTGTATACGGGTATCCTTAAAGGCGCTATCTGCATCCTTCTAACACAGCTGTAAATGTCCAGATCAGGCACACGAAAAGAATATAACTTACCACTATTTTCTTCTCCTCTCTCTGCTTTACATTCACTTCTTGAATGCTGCTTCTTTTGGCTTCCAAACATTTTTTTTTTCTTTTTTGAGCTTCCTGGTCATGATCTGCCATTTCATCTTCCCAGTCTAGGTCTCTGCTTCCAAACACAATTTCTAGTGCCTCTGTATCTTCAGATAAATCGTCTAACTCCTTTCTCTTCTTTGGTGCACACTTTGCACTAGAAGTAGTTTTAGTGTCTGTTTTATCACTTACTAGTTTGTCACTTTCCCTCATAAACTTTATACCAGTGTCTTTTAATGCAAAATTTGGGGTTCGGTCCACGATGTTATCTTCCTTTTGATGCTGTTCTGCTTCGCTGTTCCACACTGATGAAGCTGTGCGTTCAGTGCACTTGGAAACAGGCAATGACCTTTCCTCCAGTTTTGCTACTTTGGGTACAGATGTTTCTTAGACAGAAAGCAATTACAAAACAAATAAATTACAAAAGCATTTTTGAATATGACCAGCTGCATTCACAACATAACAGCTTCCTTGGGTTTTAGTGACTGCATTGTGAAATTTGAACACAAGTACCCTTGAGGAAAAGCTTGTCATTCTAGAAAGTTGATCTAAAAATTATCTTTTTAAGTATGTTTTGAATTATATGTACATCCCTTGAGTTAAAATTATTTTCCAGAAACAGCACCAACATAACAGTAAGGGAAGTGATATCAAGAACATTTCAACATACCTTTTTCTAGCTACCTGGAAGTAATTTGTAATTGAGTTAGACTGGTGACGTGAAGCACACTCGCTAGATTTACCAGCTTCTGAAATTTTAGATGGTGAGACAGGATGACTTTTTTGACTAAACCCAGGTGTACTATTCACTCTAGATATCGATGGTCCTGCATTTACACTGCCGATTGTGGTAGGGTTTTTCTTTACAGCAATTGTATCCTGGAGAGCCATTTTCCCTCGTCTATCCATCTGGGGAGTATTCTCTATCTCCATACTACATTAGAGAGAAAAAAATATTAAGCAAACACACAAGAAGTTACCACAGAGATACACTGTAGAATACCGCTTTTTAAAAAATCTATACCTGTACTTTGAACATACTTGTAAACAACATAGGTGTGCTAAAAACAAACTGTAAAATCAGTTATGATAAATATATTTTTATAATTGTGAAATGGCTTGAAAATTTGTAATAGTTATGACAGTCAAATCTGATATGCAGTATCTACGTTTGTATCCAATAGAGTCATATAAATCCCATGTGATGTTTTCTGTTATCTACCACTCAAAAGCAGAAATAATGTCACTGCAAACAAGTGACAGCGATTTAGTAAGTGCCATTTCTAACATCATACATCTGTTCACGGCAATGATACAGTTCCTCTGCCACAAAAGGTTGCTTTATTTGCAAGTATTAGCTTAGAAACTATTTTCATGAATACTTTACCATGTCTGCTCTTCCATTTCTGTATCAGCTACATATACTGTGCTGTCTTCTGCAGCAGTTGGCATTATGGTTTCATCCACAGCCAAACTCTGAGAAATGGCTCGCCCTGCAACAGCTAATGCAGTAGTACTTTTAGTTACAGCTGCAAGAGCAACAGAAGAGAAGAATTAAAAGGTTAGTATTATATCTGTGATTCTTTGTGTGTCTTATCACACATCAGTAACTGATCAGGTCAGATTTTTGTAAAATGGTCTTAAAGCAATTTTAATTAAAAAAATAAGCAGATTTCTTAATTAAAAAAAAAAACCTGAAAGAAACAGTTCTAGAGAAACACATTCTGGGATTCAGTTTTAGTTAAATATTCCACTGAATTAAGTCATGGAATTTTGCTTAAATAAAAACGAAGCATAATAGGAAATCGTATATTAATATGGACATAATGCAACTCATAAGTCATGCAATATGTATTTTATACAAAACTGTTAGAGAACAAAATTCCCTACATTTACTGCTTTATGATGATCTCTAACATGTGATTATTATATTATTTCTACTAATACAGAATCAACACTTGGTATAAAAAAACCTTAGAATAAATGTCTTTGACAACCAATTTCTCATAATCCCCATAGTCAGGGGATAGCCTTAAAACATCTTTGCTGCTCTATTTAGTTAATCGCATTATTTCCTGTAAAGCAGAAAGAAGAGCATATACAACATCTTTTATATTGTCTGCCCTTTCACTTGTCCTTGTCATCATATACTTATGTCTTCTCCAAATCAAAGGATACTAACATTTACTATGTTAATATATGTCTCACAGTGCTGCTAGAACAGTTTTTTTTAATTACTACTCACCTCTCAGCCCTTTACATTATTCCTGCATCTCATTCTCATTGAGAATATGATGACAATAGTATCCTTTCACACAACCCATTCTTTATGCATTCACTCATTAATTTTTCCTACCACTGTAACCTATAGAAGAATAATCAATAGATACGTTTCCTCCCTGAGCAACTACATTTTGTATATGTTGTTATTTGTTGTTCTGAGACAAGTTCAGAGGAAGAAGTCTTGTTTACAATCCCTTTGATTTGCAACACGTACATGGAAGTTTCTTTGTAATTCCCAAACACTAGCACTTATTCCCTCTTTGCAAATAAATTGTAAACATAGCTACCTTTAAAAGCCTGATATACACTCCATTTACACAATTCAATCAGACAACTTAATTTTTATCCAATTGAATCATTCAGACTGAAAACAAGAATCATCCTTTCTGATTTATTCAGATGTCTGCAGGGTGAGTATCTTTAAGTTTAATCTGAGAATTAATTTATTTTGTATCGTTTTCTAAACTAACTGGATAGACAACAGATCAAATACAAGTAACTCATACAGGAATACCAGTCAACTAAAATATTGGTTGCCAATACCAGTACCGCACATGTATCTTTCTCTCTTCAAACTACATTTTTGAGTAGGTGATGTTCCTATACGCAAAGACAAATTTATGGGGGTTTTGTTTGATTTTTTAAAAAAATTGTAGAATTTGCTACCTGATACAACACTTTGTAGAACAGAACAGAACCTAAAATTATACACATAACTGACAATTTTATAGAAAGAAAAATATAGACTAACAATTTTGGAAGAGGCATGACAAAAACTCTCTCTCAATGATTTTTGTTACTACTGTATTAGCAAATACAAGTTAAGTTTCAAGATGAGACTTTAGCAAACGTCGCAACCATGTCTCATTGTTTTTACTTCTTACATCAAGATTATGTTTGGTACTGAACTGGGTGAGGGGTGGTTGAATTTTCCTAAAGCAAATACCTTTTTTGTGGGGAACAAAAAAAAAACACAAACAAACCCCAAACAAGCCTTTACAAATTAATTCCATTCTTATTCTCTCAGTTTCTAACATTCATCTTTTACTTCCCCATTACTCCAGTCTTTTCACAAAAGACAGAATATCATGGAATTCAAACACCACATACATATTAATTCAGTGGCCACTAAAAACTAAACTAAAACTTCAGAAGATTGTTTTAATGTACCTTTCCTTTAAAGATCAATGTACTACGCATCTGCTTTTTATGCTAATTTTAGATCTGCTACTTTTTTATTTACGTCTAAGAGTCATATAACTTTCATTGCAGTTTATTGCAAGACCATTAAAAAACAATTACCTCTTTAGACTTGTATACACTTTTCATACAGTGTCATTCTATTTTAGTGGTCTTGCCAAACAAAAGAACTTGAGCATTAGCAGTTGATGCCCCTGTACAAAAAGAAATACTGCCTCTTTAACACTGTTAACCTATTGCTGCCCTTCTTCCAATTACCTTTGTTACCAGGCTGCTTTTGAGGGTTGCAGTATTTTTCTGTAGACATGAAGATAACGGCCAATCCAATTTCTGCCTCGGGAATAGCCCTGAGATTCTTGCTGTTAATATACAAATAAAGACAAAAAAATTAAAATACATTTCTCAATACAGATTCAAAGATGAATAGGTGAATGGTACAAAATGTTCCATTCCTCCTTTCAAAAAAGATCAGTGTACGCTATGATTTTTCACAATACAGTGAGTCAGTATAATTATCCATCATTATACCTATGTCCTATACATATGAACTTCCATATTTCCTGCTGCTGTAGCCACTATCTAGTCCCAGTGACCTGGCCAATCAATCTCCCCTTACCTGATTTCTGGGCATTTAACCAACTGTGGTCTACCTCTGATTCAAAAATGTGTGTTCATGAAAAAGTGACTTGAAAGATTTGAGCACTTCTTACAAGTCAGTTAGGCACACAAACACCTCTTTTGTACTACAGCTATGAGAAGAGCTTCAGTACAGCTTTCTCTCTTTAGCAGAAAAATTCAGGGGAACTAGGTTTATGTATTAGGTTAAAGATTGGGATTTTGTTTTCTTTCATTGTTTTAATAAAATGGCATCATGAAAACCCTAACATCTATAAAATATGCAGTCTGCCCTCTCAAACAAAACCTACCACCAAAACAAAACCTGATTTTCATTAAACAGAAGCTGCTCTTCAGAAACACTGTATGCAAATAATTAGACAGCAATGAACCACATGACCTCAAGGTGCCACCTCATCTGTTTTCCATGAAATAAATATGTATATTTGTTGAAAAAAATAACACATGATCTATTTTCCATTCTAAGAATATATTAACTGTTTTTAAATAGTAGAAGAAAACACATTTGCTAACTGTAATTTCAAATGAATTTTTGTAGAATAGGATCCTAAAAAACAAAAAAAGAAATAACA